GAGGCCAAGGCGAATGGATTGTCTGAGGCTGGGGGTTCGAGACCAGCCCGGGCAACTTGGTGAGACTTCATTTCTACAATAGAATTTTAAAAAATTAGCCAGTTGTTACAGCTACTTGGAAGTCTGAGGCGGAAGGACCAGCTGAACCCAGAAGGTCGATGCTGAGGTGGCCATGAGCATGCCATGGCACTCCAGTCTGGGCGACAGAGTGAGATTCCAACTCAAAAAATAAGAAGAAGAAGAAGATTATAGAATAAAGTCCATAAAAATCTGTAGAGCAAGTTCACTCAGAACCAGGCTTTGTCAAGCCACGGAAATAGGGTTACTATATATCTATCTGCTCATAATTCCTTCTTCCTTCTCAAGGTATCTAGAAAAGCTTATTTGGTGGTAATTTGCTTTCTTGATTGTAAGAAGGAGAGACTTTAAAAAGTTTACTTGTGGCTGAGGTGAGTGGATTGCCTGAGCCCGCGGGTTCGAGAGCTGCCTGGGCAACTTGGTGAGACCTCCATCTCTACAATAAATCAAAAAATCAGCCGGGCATGGTAGCGCGCACCTGTAGTTCCGGTTACTTGGAAGGCTGAGGCGGAAGGATTGCTGGAGCCCAGCAGGTCGAGGCTGCGGTGGCCGGGAGCGGCCACTGCCCTCCAGTCTGGGCGACAGTGAGACTCCAACTCAAAAAAAAAAAAAAAAGTTTACTTGTTTCTTCTTCAAATGATGCCCTTTTGCAGAAGTCCCGTGTATGCCGGTGTAGCCTGTGTGTTGCACAATTCCAGGTATGAAATCCACATGGACCTATAGCATCAGCAGTGCCCGTCTACCCGTGCCCACGCTTCATTCTCCAGAGTAGCATGTAGTCTTCACCCTATGCACAAAGATATATATTTTTATGCGGCTGGGTAATAATTCACTGGACAACTAATTTAATATACTCTGTTCTGGGGAGGAAAGCAGAACTATCATTTGCTTTCATATCATTAACTTCCTAAACACTGTTACTGAAATTTGGTAGTGTTCTAAATATTATAGAAATACAAAGGTTATCTAAATGACTCTTTCACTTTGAACCAGTATCAGCGGAAGAAGTATTTTATACATTTTTATCTCACATTTCTTCACTTTGGATTTTCCATCCGCTTATTCTCTTCTAAGGTTGTAGTTTTTAGTGATGGATCATATGTAGAAAGGAATGAGAAAAAATGAGGTCAAGGAGAGTTCTTTAACAGTATTATCAACCTTTTTTCTTGTAAATTTTCTGGAAATGTCTTAAATAATGACTTCCCTTCATTAATACATTTTTGTTTAAATAGCAGACTTATCGAGATGTAGTTCAGCCACACAATTCACCCATTGAAAGTGTACATTTCAGTAGTTTTTAGTACATTCACAGAGTTGTGCAACCATTACCACTATCTAATTTCAGAACATTTTCATCACCTCAAAAAGAAACCCTATATCCATTAACAGTCACAGCCCACACTCCACCCACACAAGCCCTAGGCAAATGCTCATCTACTTTTTATTTCTATAGATTTGCCTATTGTAGACATATCATATAAATGGAATCATAAAATAAATGGCATCTTATGACTGACTTCTTTAACTTAGCATGTTTTCAAGGGTCATACATGTTATGACATGTATTAGTATTTTATTACTTTTTATTAATAAATACCATTCAATTGTATGGATATATCACATTTTGTTTATCCATTCATGAGTTTATGGATGTTTGGGTTGTTTCCACATTTTGACTATCATAAATAATGCTGCTATGAACATTCTTATACAGGTTTTTTTTGTGTGTGTGGACTTGTGTTTTCTTTTTTTTGAGTTGGAGTCTCACTCTGTCGCCCAGACTGGAGTGCAGTGGCCACTCCCGGCCACCGCAGCCTCGACCTGCTGGGTTCCGGCAATCCCTCCGCCTCAGCCTTCCAAGTAGCTGGAACTACAGGTGCGCGCTACCACGCCCAGCTAATTTTTGATTTTTTGTAGAGATGAGGTCTCGCCAAGTTGCCCAGGTGGGTCTCGAACCTGCGGGCTCAGGCAGTCCACTCACCTCAGCCTCCCAAAGGCGTGGGATTATAGGCTGAGCCACCGAGCCCAACTGTGTTTTCAATTCCTGTGGTTATATACTTAGGAGTGGAATTGTTGCATTATATGGGAAATCTATGTTTAACCTTTGGAGGACCTACCAGCCTGTTTTCCAAAATGACTGAGTCACTCAATAATCTTACCAGCAATATTTGAGGGCTCCAATTTCTCTGCATCCTTGTCAACACTTGTTATTTTCTATCTTTTATTTTAGCCAACCTAGAAGGGATGAAGTGGTAGCTCATTGTGATTGTGGTTTTGATTTGCATTTTCCTGTTGAATAATAACATCGAACATCTTTTCATGTGCTTATTGACCATTTGTGTATCTCTTTAGGAGGAATATATATTCAAGTCCTTTGCCCATTTTAATGATTATTTTTACTTGTGGGAAAATACACACAACATAAAATGTATCATTTTAACCATTTTGAGTGTACAGTTCAGTGGCATTAAGTACATTAAGATTCTTATGCTGCCATCCCCACCATCCCTTCTCCAGAACACTTTTCATCTTGCAAAACTGAAACTCTGTACTTATTAACCATAACTCCCCACTTCCTCTTCCCCCAGGCTGTGGCAACCACCATTCTACTTTCGGTCTCTATGAATTTCACTATTCCAGGTACAGCCTATAAGTGCACTCATGCAGTATTTGTCCTTTTATAACTGGCTTATTTCACTTGTTATAATGTCCTCAGGATTCATCCATGTTGTAGCATGTGCCAGAATTTCCTTCCTTTCAAAGCCTAAGTAAGATTTCAATTTATGGATATGCTACATTTTGTTTATTCATGTGTCGATGGACACTTGGGCTGCTTCCAACCCTTGGCTATGTTGAATAATGTTGCTATAGACATGAATGTACACATTTCAGTCCAAATCCCTGCTTTCAATTCTTTGAGGTATACACCCAGCATTAGAATTGCTGGATCATATGATAATTCTATTTTTATTTTTATTTTTTTAGGAAATGCCATACTGTTTTCCATAGCAGCTGCACAATTTTACATTCCTACCAACAGTGCACAAGTGTTCCAATTTCTGCAGATCCTCACAAACACTTGTTGTTTTCTGCTTTTTTAAAATAGTAGCCATCTTAATGGGTGTGAGATGGTATCTCATTGTGGTTTTGGTGATTTGCATTTTCCTGATGATTAGTGGTTATATTAGAAAGTTCGGGCTGCCATAACAAATACCACAGACATGGTGGCTTAAAAACCAGCAATTTATTTTCCACAGTTCTGGAGGCTGAGAGACCAAGATCAAGGTTCTGGTTGATTCATTTCTTGGACGGCCTTCTTTCTGACTTGCAGATGGACATCTTACATGGTATAGAGAGAGATCTTTATCACATTCTTTTCTTATAAGATCCCCAGTACTATCAGATTAGGGTCTTATCCCTATGATCTTATTTAACCTTAAGTATGTCCTAAAACCCCCATCTCTAAATATGGACATATTGGGGTTAGGGCTCCAACATATGAATTTTGGGTTATACATTTGGCCCATGGCAATGATGTTGAGCATCTTCTCATGTGCTTGTTGGTCATTTGCATATCTATTTTGAAGAGGTGTCTATTTAAGTTCCCTGCCCATTTTTAAATAAGGCTGTTTGTCTTTTGTTGTTGAGTTATTTTTATTCTGGATAAAACTCCTTATGAGATATATGATTTACAAACATTTCCTTTCATTCTATCAGTTGTCTTTTCATTTCTTGACTGTGTTCTTTAAAGCATAAAGGTTTTTAATTTTGATGAAGTCCTATTTATTTTTTCTTTTCTTTCTTTTTCTTGGTCAGATCCTCACTCTGTTGTCCAGGCTAGAGTGCAGTGGTGTGATTACAGCTCACCACGGACTTGATCTCCTGAGCTCAGTGATTCTTTCACCTCAGCCTCTTGAGCAGCTAGGACTACAAGTGTGCCACCACACCCAGCTAATTTTTTTTGTTTGTTTTTTAGAGACAGGTCTGGCTATGTTGCCCAGGCTAGTCTTGAACTCCTGGCCTCTAGTGATCCTCCAATCTTGGCCTTCCAAAGTCCTGGGATTATAGGCATGAGCCACTGTACCTGGCCTATGTTTTCTTTTGTTGCTTGTACTTTTGTTGTCATATCTAAGAAGCCATCATCGAATTCAAAGTCATGAAGATTTACTCCTATGTTTTCTTCTAGGAGTTTTTTAATTTTAGCTCTTACGTTTGGGTTTATGATTCATTTTGAATTAATGTTTATATATGGTGTGAGATAGCCCTTTTCTTTTCATTCTTAAGAACATCATAGTTTTAGAATGTTCTTTACTAGATTAAATATAAAAAATTGGTAAGGAGGTTTTTATTGCTGCTTTTGGCTTTTTAAAAAAATTACTGACTCAATGCAGACATGGAAAATCATATCTTTTATATCATCTAAAAATGCTTTATTTACAATAAGCTCATTCATTCTGTTTAATAAGCAGAGAACTCTAAACATAGGGTAACAACAGAAATGGCTGTCAATAACTGTTGATATAACACTCTTTGAAAGATTGTGAATAATGTCTTGATTACAAATAAAAGTGTGGTCTCCTCTTTTTAGCCCAGAATTGGCTAAGAGTAGATATCATTTTTTAGTCTGATTAATGGTAGAGTAACTAATTAGAGTGGGAGAGAGATTAGCAAATCACTCAAGATGTCAAGTGCAGTCGAAGTACCATTTTGTCATAGATAATATAGTAAAGCTCATAGCGACAGGTGTGCATAATAAATAGGAACCAAGAATGCTCAGGTATTGAAGAGTCTAGGTAATGTTTTTAGAATCAGCATTATTTGCTTAGATTTTATTTTCTCCCTCTGTATTGTCATACTGCGGAATTGGGCTTTGATTTATTGACATTCCAACATCTGGTGCGAATTTTCTTTTTGCTTTGCAGGATGCACAGAATCAAAAATTAAAGACAAGTGTATGGTACCGTGAGGTAAATGATTATGTTTCCCTTTATGCATGCTGGACTTCTCATCTAGATCTGCTGCAACACATAATTCTAAGGAATAGATATTATCTTTGTATTTATAGTTCCTTAGATCTTCAGCAGGCCTGATTTATCAGAATCCACATAAGATGTATGGTCATGGTTTCTGGTTGGGGCTACCATCTTTAGGATTTAGATGGAAAGTCCTCTTTTCTAACAGAGAGTACCAGAGGGATGATAAATTGGATTATTAATTCAGATCTCTCCTTAGTTCTTTAGTGAGGTTGACATTGCCCCACTTTGATAAGTTTCCTTTTTGGCTACTCCTAACAGGTTTGGAATGATGAATTTTTATCCTGGAACTCCAGCATGTTTGATGAGATTAGAGAGATCTCCCTACCTCTAAGTGCCATCTGGGCCCCTGATATCATCATAAATGAGTGGTAAGTGTACTGGTGTGTATTTCTGTGGGGTTTAGACTGCTTGCTTGGACTATCCAGCCCGTTACTGCTTACTCTCAGTCAGTTACTGTTGTTTTTCTCAAATTGAAGAGGAATATCTTGTTGGGGACATTCAGACTGGAAGTACCTTGAGCTGGCATTATTTAAAATACAGATTCAATTACTAATGTGATTTGTAACAGTAGCAAATGAGTTAATGTATGAGGCTGTCACTGCGGAGTCCATCTTTGCCAGGGTGAATAATCTCATGGGAAATGTGATTCTGTCTTGGCAGAGCTAGACTGGTCCTAGGTCTCATGGCCACTACATAATCAGTCTGTGTATGTTTTGAGATGACTGAAGTGCTCTTTGTAACAACAAGTTCTCTTGTGTTTAATATAGTGTGGACATTGAGAGATCCCCTGACCTTCCCTATGTCTACGTAAACTCATCTGGGACCATCAGGAATTCTAAGCCTATCCAGGTGGTCTCTGCATGCAGTTTAGAGATATACGCTTTTCCGTTTGATGTCCAGAATTGCAGCTTAACCTTCAATAGCATTCTGCACACAGGTAAGACCTACCTATGCTGAGTTGAAAAACATACCTATGCTGGGTTGGAAAGCGTACCTATGCTGGGTTGACCCATGTAGATGAAATTATTTTATACCATCCCTCGGGTCTATTTTATTCTTGTACATAATGGAATATTTAAAAATCAAAATTTCTTCTTACAGTTTTTTGGGCTCCTGCTGTAATTCAGACCAAGTATGATGTTATGACCCATTGGTACAGTTGATTTGGAAATCTGATATTAGGCCTTGACTGCTATTTAGACTGTGAAAGAAGTCACAAGACAAGTTCCATCATTCTATGGAGAGTGGACTCCAAACCCTACATTCTTATTTATTTTTTTGAGTCAAGATCTCACTCTGTCACCCAGGCTGGAGTGCAGTGGCACCATCCTAGTTCATTGTAACCTCAACCTCTTGGGTTCAGGCAATCCTTCCACCTCAGCCTTCCACGTAGCTGGTACTACAGGTGCACACCACCACATCCGGCTAATTTTTTATAGAGATGAGGTCTCACTATTTTGTTCAGGCTGGTTTTGAACTCCTGGGCTCAAGCCATCCTCCTGTCTCAGCCTCTCAAGGTACTGAGATTACAGATGTAAGCCACTGTGCCTGGCCCATTTTTTTTTAATGACTAGAAAGATTTTATTTTCCACCTCTAAGCCCGAATTCAAATAAGGCCAATGAGATGGTGCATGTGGGGGACAAAATAAAAGGACAGGATTCATTTTGGAAGCTGGAAAGTAGGTTGGTGTTGGCATCTCTTTCTCACTGGTGAAGTCAATTGTTTTTGTTGTTTCCAGTGGAAGACGTAGACCTGGCCTTCCTGAGAAGCAGAGAAGATATTAAGCATGACAAAAAGGCATTTTTGAATGACAGCGAGTGGGAACTTCTTTCCATATCCTCAACATACCAGATCCTGCAGAAGAGCACTGGAAATTTTGCTCAGATTCAGTTTAATGTAGGTCCTGTCTTCTCCCTCCTGTCTCTGCTGTCTCCCTTCTATCTGCATTCTTTAGCTTTCTTGATGGGCCTGAGGATTCTCTGCTCCATTGTGTATTCTCATTCATTACTCCTAGAGAACAGTTGGTTCAGATGGCTCAGGACACTCACTTGCATTCCAGCATTTCAGAGAGCGGAGTTTCAGTGAGAGATCCTGGGTGCCTGCTGATGATATTTCACAAATGAATATAGAAAAGATGGTGTTCAGACATCAGAGACCTGAACCACCCATTGCAGCAGGAACCCTCAAATCTTTCAACACATACTAACATTATCACTTCTAATTGCTGCTGAGAAAAAATACAAACAAACCCACACACAACAAAAACAACAATTGGGAAGACTGTCTCATTAACATGATTGTCCCATTTTTCACTGAACAGATTATCATTTAATTCCAGAAGCAGATGCCTAAAATGATCATATGATTAACTTGAATATCAGAAGGAATTAGCCAGTAAGTCACCTGCAGGACCCTCAGAGATCACTGGTAGCTTTTGGACCAGAGAGAACAACTGACTGAAAAAAACATAATGAGAACCGACACTCCTCTGATGCACCCCTGAGAATGCCCTTGACTGCACTGTTCACCAGGAAATTTGTCCAGTGGGGGGCGGGTTCGGAGGGTGGGGGGACACAGTGAAACTGGTTACCTTGCACTCCAGAGGCATCCATTCCTTCTCTGGCCTTCCTGGAAAACTGTTTTCACACGTAGTCTGCAGCAAGTTCTTGCAACTGGTAGACACACTGTTAGTATTCAGCAGTGCGTATTCTTTTCTGCACAAAGTCAGCTAGTGGTAGGTGGTGGGGGAAGGGTGATCCTTTCATGTCAATTAATGAATCCAGTTGAAAAATAGAGACTGCAGGCAGGTCAGGATTGCACACAAGATGGATTCTTCCAGAAACAAACCTTTGGAATAAGAGGAAAAATTTAGACTAGACTAAGGTGCTGTGATGCTACGGACATGTTAAACGGGTGGTGGTGAAATAAACTATTATTAAGGGCACAGATGTCCCTCCATTGGTTAAAAGTCGTATGCTGTTTCCACAAAGCTCTTGTTAAATCAGGGTCTCTTAGATATATCTGTGGTTTGAACCTGACTGATATATCATGCTGGCTAGTAGCTAATTGCAGCTCATATCTTCCTAGGTGTGGCTTTGTGTTCTTGCCTAGAATTCTGCTTGATTTTTCAGCAAAGCTTGCCTCATGGCCTGTTTGTCCACTTTTCTTAGTGAGGGAAAGGGAAAGAAAAAAAGAGAGAGCGTTTTAGTTTTTTCAATTTCAATGAGTTTCTTGGCTAAGAGTAAACACCTCATTAATTTTAAAGATATCAGCCCACAAACATTATTAATGCAGCCCGAATAATGGAGAGCATTAAAGGGAAATGTGAAGGAGTAACACGTGCAAGGTGGAACGTAGTCACCTACCAAGCGCTCCAGAGAACGCTGCACACACCATTACCTACACGGCACGGAGGAGACAAACAGAGGCTAGAGTCGGGGCAGGTAAATGGGAGCGTGTGCGTGCAAGTGCTCTCGTTCTCTCGTTCTCTCACTCTCTCTCTCTCTCTGGCTGTCTCTTTCTTTCTCCATTATTTGTAGTTACATGTCACCTTTCATCCTAAATATTAATTTGTCAACAACAGCTGAAGGTTTGTTATGTACTACTTTGCATTCAGATATGATGGACAGAGATGGTAAAGGATGGTTTAATGAAGGTGAGGCTTCCCTGGGTCTCAGAACTGTGGTCCACCCCTGTGCTCTCCTCACTGCCATGCTTGCTCCGTGTGTACTGTGTTTCTGTGGAGGGGTGCTGGAGCCAGGCCTGATACCATTTCATGTGCTTGGAGCCTTTCCCTGCGTCCCTTTGCCCTGGGGATGAAGGTGGGTTTTCTAGCAAGACTGGTATCCACCCTGGTCTTCAGGAACAGAGTAGGGAATGAGTTCTGAGTAGAGTCACAGATCATACTTGGTAGGGCAGAGAGCCTGACTCAGGAGCAATTCCGCAGCTTTACAAGGCTAAAAGTAGATTCAGTGATTATCATGGTTCTCGGTCTCTCTCAACCTCGCTCAGCCTCCATGCCTCCCATTCCTGCTCTGTGCACTGTGCCTAGACTCATCGTGTTCTCTTACTCTGTACCAGACATCCCACTCTGAATTTAGTAATGGAGGCCCCCAGGTGTCCTTCATCAGTCCTTGGCCAGTGTTGTGAGTTCAGAACTCAGTTCTATGCCAGTGCTGGGCCTGCCAGGGTCCTGACAGCAAAGGGCCATCTCCTCTTAATCTAATCACCAGCTGTGTCTCAGTCCAGGCTGCTCAGCAGGAGGCTGGGGACAGGTGGGGTAAGCAGGAGAAGCAATGATCTATTCTGAATACATCATCACCCTGGGCCTGACGTACACGGTTGCCATTTATAACTAAATGAAGTGCTCCGGATGCCCTGCGAGTTTCAGCTAATGTGCAATCATAGCTGCTGGCTCTGGGACACGAATTGCTTATCAGAGGGCACCATGGAAGCTTTGGAGTCGGGCTACGTTCCACAGGGGGCCCAGAGTACAGGCACTTCTCCCTATAAGGATGTCTGTGTGCAGCCTGGGACCTGGTTCAGCAGCCATGGAAGGGGAGGTATCCTCCAATACATTATCGGAGGTGCTGGTTCCCAGAAACAGCAGGGTGAGCATTCGATTTTTGTACGGCAGTGGAGGCTTTTTGGTTTTGTTTTGTTTTAAAGAATGAGGGTAGAAGTGGGAGGAGGCAGGAATGAAATTTAGAAACTCGTGTTGGATGGAAAAGGGTGGACAGCTGTGGAAACTAAACCAAGCCTAACCACAGATATCTTCACAGTGAGTAAAGTGTTCATTCAAGCAGGAACTGGGGTACCCAAGAGCAGGAATGGAGGTACTCCTAGAAAATGCAAAGGGGCATTTGGGAAAGAAAGGCGCTTTATTTATTCCTTTTTATCTGTCATACTTTTCCTTTCTAGATTAAGGTAGAGAAATTTTGCTGAGATACCCATTGAATAAAGCTCATGGACTTGATAGAAGATGTCTTTAAGCACCAACAGACCATAGGAGGGAGAGAGAGAATTTAGAATCCTACAACTCCTACCTGGGTCACTCCAGTGATTTGGGAATCATGGACTTTCTGCTAATCCAGACTGATCCACAGTCCAGGTCCAAGAAGCTCTCACTCTGGTGCAAAGGTCTGACTTAAATGGCAGCAACTTTCCCATTCTTTCTGAATTGGGAATGTTGGGAGGGGCTTGGGAGAGGAGGAAAATGGGCTTCTGTATGAAGCGTGAGTCTGGGCATCAAAATTCCAACTATGTCATAAAGACAGTCATGCAAAATTGAGTACTGGTGGGGTCTACCATCAAGGAGGCAATCAGAAGCTAACCTTGGGGCCTATTCCATCTCCAAGGAGCTCTCCACACACACATTCTGAATTAGATTGATCTCTTTCATTAACATCAATAGGCTCCAAATACCTTTGTGTACTTATTATTACCTGGCTTTAATGGATAATGAAATTGTGGCATAATATTGCTAACACCTGAAGGGTGTCTAATGGGGGAACACGGACTGAAACTAAAGTGCTTTTTCTTCCCTTTCTGTGGAATTTAAAGGCAGCAGCTCCTTCAGTCCATTAGAAATGATGGGCTCTAGGTAGGGGCAGTTTTGCAGGGAGCAGTGTCTCACTGAGCTGGGACATACCTTCCCCCCAGCAGAAGCAGGGGTTACTGGTTCTTTCATGATCTGCAGAGGTAGCCATCAGAGAGACTGACCTCAATAGGATAGGTCCCATTTAAGCTAACTCCACACTTCCATCCTGTCGGAACTGAAAGGAACCTTATTACCATACTCCAGTACAATCCAATGACTTCTTCTGAGCTTTTATCATGTGCCAGGCTCAATGGCAAACACTTAGAACATAAAGATGAGTAAGACAAAGCTCCTGACATCTATCACAGACTTCAAAAATCTTCCCAAGGAAACAGAATAACAATAGCCATAAAACCAGGCACTTATAAGCCGGGAGCAGTGGCTCATGCCTGTAATTCCAGCACTTTGGGAGGCGGAGGCGAGAGGATTGCTTGAGCCCAAGGGTTTGAGACCAGCCTGGGCAACATGGCAAGACCTTGTCTCTACAATAAATCAAAAAATTAGTTGGGTGTGGTGGCACATGCCTGTGGTTCCAGCTACTTGGAAGGCTGAGGTAGAAGGATAGCCTGAACCCAGCAGGTTGGGGCTGCAGTAGCTGCGAGCGTGCCACTGCACTCCAGCCTGGGAGACAGAGTGAGACTTCGACTCAAAACAAAACAAAACAAAACTAGGCACTTACTTTATGCCTGGCACCAGTTAAAGAGTTTGTACATGTCATGCTCACATCCCTATGAGATGAGTGCCCTAAGTATCTGCATTTTTACACATAGATGAATTTAGGTGCAAAGAAATTAACTTATAAGAGGTTACAAGGTGACTGGTAGAGCCTGGACTTAAACCTAGGCAATCTGACTTCAGAAACTAAGTGCCTATATCCTAGATCATGCTGATACACAAGTCAGCATAATTCAGGATATTACAGTCTGTCCTTTGCCGTCCACCCTCCGTGCATTACTGGGCAAGTCATCTGTATCAGTTTCGCAAGGCTGCCATAAAATAGTACCCTAAAACAACAGAAATATATTCTCTCTCAGTTCTGGACACCAGAAATCTGAAATCAAGATTTTGGCAGTGTTGGTTCCTTCTGGGCATTCCGAGGGAGGATCTGTCCAAGTCTCTCTTCTAGCTTCTGTGGTCGCCAGCAGGCTTTGGCATTCCTTGGCTAGTAGATGTATCCTTCTCATCTTTTACCTCCATTCTCATATAACATTCTCTGTCTCTCCTTTTTATTTTTTGAGTTGGAGTCTCACTCTGTCATCCAGGCTGGAGCGCGGTGGCACACTCACGGCCACCCCAG